CATGAAAAGTACGAGCATGAAAAGTACGAGCATGAAAAGTACGAGCATGAAAAGTACGAACATGAAAAGTACGAACATGAAAAGTACGAGCATGAAAAGTACGAGCATGAAAAATACGAGTATGAAAAGTATGAGCATGAAAAGTACGAACATGAAAAGTACGAGCATGAAAAGTACGAGCATGAAAAGTACGAGCATGAAAAGTATGAGCATGAAAAGTATGAGCATGTGCAGCATCAATACTTAGTTGTTGCTCCTTTTACCTGGATTACTGCATCAATGCGTCGTGACATGGAGTGGATCAGTGTGTCTCTCTGTTCAGATGTTATGAGAGCCCAGGTTGCTCTGACAGTGGCCTTCAGCTCTTCTGAATTGTTGGATCTGGTGTATCACATCTTACTCTTCACAATGGATTTTCTATGGGCTTAAGGTCAGGAGAGTTTGCTGGCCAATTAAAAACAGGGATACCATAGTCCTTAAACCAGGTACTGGTAGCTTTGTCACTGTGTGCAGGTGCCAAGTCCTGTTGAAAAATTAAATCTGCATCTCCATAAAGTTGGTCAACAGCAGGAAGTCTCTAAAACTTCCTGGTAGTCAGCAGTCTCCCCCATGATTGTGTAGCTACAGAACTAGACTGAGACCATTTAAAGGCCTTTGCAGGTGTTTTGAGTTAATTATCTGATTGTGGCACCAGGTGTCTTCAATATTGAACCTTTTCACAATATTCTAATTTTCTGAGATACTGAATTTAAGGTTTTCATTGTCAGTTATAATCTTCAACATTAAAAGAAATAAACATTTGAAATATATCAGTCAGTGTGTAATGAATGAATATAATATACAAGTTTCACTTTTTAAATGGAATTACTGAAATAAATCAACTTTTTCATGATATTCTAATTTTATGACCCAAGTACAAAATTGTTTTGTAAAAATTTATTTAGTGTGTGCAGCTTATATTCAGGTGCGCTCTATAGACTGGCAATTATGGTAAAAGTGACAGAAAGAGTGCGAAACCTTGATACCGCTGGGGTCAGGGGCCTCAGCCTCTGGTTCAGGACAGGACTCCAGAGATTTGTGAAGATGGTCGATAGCTTCACACGTGGCGTTCTTCACCTCCAGCAGGCGATCGGACGTCATCCTGCCACCATAATAGGCGTGACTCTGTGGATCTACTGGAAACACATAGAACAAAGTGTTATGAAAAACAAGCAGAACACATAAAAAATAATACGGAAATAAAGAAAACTACATAAAATTCCTGATAATGTCTACCTTCAAACATCTGGGTGTATCCCTGACTCAGCTGAAGACCCAGAGAACTACCTGATTCTTGGTGTTGGAAGGGGCTCGGTACTGGAGGGTAGGGGAGCAGGATGGTGCCCCCCTGTCGGCTGAATGGATTAAGATGGGTGTTCCCGACCCCTGCTGTAACGCTGTCACACTCACCCACACACTCTGAAATAGGTACAATGGAGCAGCAGTGAGCAGACAAACAATAACCTCACTATTCATGTTCTAAGAAAATCAAACAGCCTCGCACATTTTGAATTATGACTGTTTACTTCACATAAAGGAGCTTGTTTTATCTGAATGTACTGCTTTGGTTCAGTGTTACTTTGTGTATTCATCCAGTTACTCTGTTAATATTTTCAAGAGTTTCACTATGGCCACAATTATTGTAGACCAAAGTAAAAAAGTTGTTGGTAAAACTAAGATTTACAGAAGCATGCATGCATGCTTCTGTAAATCCATCCATGCATCATCCATGCATCCAGCCATCCATCCATGCATCCATCCATGCATCCATCCAGCCAACCATCCATGCATCCAGCCATCCATCCATGCATCCAGCCATGCATCCAG